ACCCAGGCCCTTGTGAGATTGCTACTGAACTTGAGCTGTGAAATAATTGCTTTCACGTGGTGCACACATACACCACACAATTTTCATTTTTTGCTTTTTAAAATTAAAATATAAACTTTTTTATTGTCTTTTCTTTATTTGTTTTTTTTTTCTTCTCTTCTTCTACTTTCTTTTCCTTTTTCTTTAACTTCATCCCTTGGCTGCTCAGCCTCCATGCGCTAAGTGTCTAGACAGGTCTTAGTGAGCAGTATACAAACGTTTGAATACAATTAGGATCAGAATATTTCTAAATTCCCACTGAATATGAAACACAAAGGGTGAAAAATGGAATGGAAGAGATATTGCAGATCACCTCCTCCTGCACACCTCTGAACACTCAGATCGAACTTCAAGATTTAGGAAGAAATGGACAACCCATCAGATAACCAGATGTTACCATAGGGACACAAAAAATATGAGAAAGCAAGAAAATGCCTCTCCTCCAAGGGAAAAGAATAGCTTCTCTTCATCCACCAACAGTACAATAGAACTCATGGAAATGTCAGATAAGGAATTTAGAATATTCATAGTGACAAAGCTAACAGAGATACAAGAGAAGAGAGACAGTAAACTCCAGAAGATGCAGGAAAAAGGAGCCGACAGGTTCCAGGAGGTGAGGAAGTTCTTGCATGATCTGAAAGAGGAAAATCACACCATAAAAAAGAGTCAAATGAAACTTTAGAGATGAAGGCTGTAATACAAGAAATCAACCCCCTCCCCGAAAGTATTAAAAGCAGACTAGATCATACGGATTATCGAATCTCAGATGTAGAAGGCAGAATTGCTGGCCTAGAAAAATCCACCATGAAGACTGAGAAAATAGCCCCCAAAAATGAAAACAATATATAAGAAATACTAGATACCATTAAATGTCCAAACATCCAAGTAATTGGTATCCCAAAAGATAAAGAGACAAATAAGGGCATTGATAATCTATTCCATGATATCCTGAAAGTAAACTTTCCAAACCTAGAGAAGCATTCAAAGATCCAGTCTTAAGAAATACAAAGGACCCCAAATAGAATCCACCAAAGAAGAACTTCTCCAAGACACATTATAGCCTGATTGACCAAAACCACAGACAAACACAAGATACTAAGATTGGCAAGAGAAAAACATCAAGTTACCTACAAAGGATATCCCATCAGGCTAACAGTGGACCTTTCATCGGAAACAATGCGAGTAAGGAAAGAATGAGAATATGTATTCAAAGTGTTAAGAGAAAAACAGTTTCAACCAATACTGTACCCAGCAAAATTATCCTTCATGAAAAGACAAGAACATTCTCCGATAAACAAAACCTGAAAGAATTTACCAACACCAGACCAGCTCTCCAAGAAGTTCTGAAGGGAGTGCTATCCCAGGAAAACCAAATACAGACACAGAAATAAGAGTTCAAAAATAACTAAGAAAATGGCCAACTCAGTGGTAGGGGCAAGTCCGAAGTTGAATGTTATCTTCCAGAATTTAAACAGGAAGATCAGACCACAACAAAAGATAAAGTACACTAGTACTTGAACTGGTGAAATAGAATCCTATGACTTTTGACTAAAATATTGCTCATTTTCTTCTGTGCTTTTTTTCTTCTGTGCTGCTGCTTTGTTTTTCAGATTTAAGGATTTTTGCCTTGTCTCGAGCTGCCGATAGGTTCATGTACCTACTATTTGAGCAGAATCTGAACCTGTTTCCTGGCTTTAAGTTTTAAGCAAAGCGTTCTTAGCATTTTTTAAATTTTGGCTTATTAAAGCTAAAACCACTTTTCTTAAAGGTAGAAAGTATATTTAAAAACACCTATTTAATGACTGCAGTAAGCTATATAGCCTCAGCTAGATGCTCCTTTTTGTATGTTCATTCTATCCAGAGTTTCACACCTAAAGTCAGACATGTGTTCACAGATATGTAAATATCAACTGAACTTGCTATTGAAAGTAGTTACGTTAATTAAGATATTTGTGAATCCATAAAATGTGTGTGGGAAGTAAGGAATGGAAAGCAACTGTAGACAACAGAGACAGTGTGGGAGGAGGGTGGGAAATGGCAGAGGGTGGGAAATAGGGGGGAAAATACATATATACACATGTATATAAAACAAGAAATGGAAAATTATTTGTTGACAATAACATGTATGATTAAGCCACTGTACAGTGTACTCTGGATGGAAAAAATCACATTTTGTATGCTGTGATGATTCTCAGTGAATTAATATAAATTTAATTAATTAATTTAAAGAAAAAAAACAAATCTACAGTGCTTTACGATCCAACAGTCGTTGCTATTCTCTTGTTCATAAAAACTTAAATGGTAGGCACTCAGAGTTCTTTGCATCAAGACAGTCCCTCTCCTCTATTATATAGACACTTTGAAAGGGCTCCTTGTAGTGCTTAGACTCTCCAGTTCATACACAGAGCCACTTCCCAGGGTCAGTGAGCCAAAACCCTTGTCCCCTTTCTCTCTCCAGAGGCTTATATCTGGGAAGCTAGGTAACTTTCTATTTTTTTTTTTTTTTTTTTTAACTTCAATTCTCAAAGAGTTTAATTTCTCCCTTCCTTTGGGCAAAGAGCTAACCTACCCCACCACCATTCTGAAAGTGTCTACATGTACTCAAAATCTTGATTGGATGTGCCACTTTCAGTGATTCTAAAGTGTTTCTGACATCTCTTTCAGTAAAGAAAAGATAGGGTTTCTCAGTGTGCTTAGAACTAGAAAAGAAAAGGGGGGGGAGCTGGATTACTGACATTCTTGTAGGAAAAAAGTGATTTTTACTTGTGCATCTACAATTTTCTTCAACCCCTAATTCTTTCCCCAGGACAGGGAATAGAGAAAGCACCAGTTTGTAAAATGTAAAATTTAGAATCCATAAGAAACATAGTGAGGCCAGCAGGTGGCATGGTGCTTAAGGCAGCTGGAGTCCACACAACCAATAACACAGTTCATGTCCCAGACCCGACATTTTGAAAAACATGCCAGACACGTATGTGTACATGCCCATAATTCCAAGAGAATGGAGAAAAGAGATTGTGGCATGGCCATTCCCCCTGGAGGTTGATTTCTCACTCTCTCTCTCTCTCCACGGGCACATGTTCCCTGTAGCAAAAAAAAAAAAAAAAGAAAGAAAGAAAAGAAAAAGAATCATGTTATTCCTTAAGATTGCAAATCTCAAATTACAGTAGAATAAATTGAATTTAAGATGAAGAAATAAGATTGGTGGGAGGATAGAGAGTGTAATAAGCTTTAGACCAGCCAGATCATGAAGGGTTTGTACTCTTTGCTAAATCAATGTGATTTTTGTTATTGTTGTTGTTGGTTTTTTTGGAGAGGTTTTTGCTATAGGGCACATGCATTCGCCAGACAGAGAGAGACATAGAGACAGAAAGCGAGAAATCACCCCCCCCGGGAGGGATGGCCACACCACAATCCCTTCTCCATTCTCCCCTTGGGATCTTGGGCACGCACGCACACGCACCCGGCGTGAGTTTTAAGCCACCGGGTTCAGGACGCGAACTGCAGTCAACTACATGGGAGTCCAGTGACATAGCCATTACACCAACTACTGGTCCCAATCAATGTGATTTTTTAAAAATAAATTTTATTTACTTATTATTTCTTTATTCATAATAAAGCACATGGGCACACACAAGGAGAGAAATGAGTACCCGCAATAGAATCTGGTCATGCTGCGATCCCCTTCCTCCAGTCCTCCAGCCCCTCTAATCTGGGACACTCCCTTGAGAGCCCAGAGTATTTCAGGCTGAACAGACTGGGAATTCAAGCCACAGTTACCATGTGGGCTCTGGCTTCTCTTGAGCAGTACCATATTGCTTTGATTTTATCTTATAGTTAGTTGTAATGATAGGAGAGCAATGGAAATATTTTAACCAGATTTATATTTTTAAAAAATCGCTAGGGAGACAGTGGGGGGAGGGTGCTGGAAGAGGGAAGGAGCTGGGAGATAGGTTTACGAGATAGGTTGTGGGGTAGGTTAGCCCTTTGTCTATCTAAGAAGTGTGGAAGACCTCTAGCTTAAATCATTAAGAACTGGGAGTGGAGAAAAACAGATATGAGAGAGAAAGAGATAGAATCAATGGAATGCTATGAGTGAGGCACAAAGGAAGATGTTGAAATCATATTCTCTCTAGATTGATTCTGCACAAGTAATTAGACTATTTACCAGTCCATGGAATAGAGAAAGGACCAGGTTTTTGGAAAATGGTAAATTTAGTTCTAGACATGTCACATTGGATTCTTTTTTTTTTTTCTCCCCTTTGGAGAGACTTTTACTAAAGGGCACGTATACTTACCAAAGAGACAGAGAGACAGAAAGTAAAAGATCACCCTCAAGAGAGGATGACCACGCTGCAATCCCTTCTCTTCCATTCTCTCAGGATTTTGAGCACACACACTTACATGCCTGGCATGAGTTTTAAGTTGCCAGGTCCAGGACTTGAACCGTGGTTGACTACCTTGGAGTCCAGCAATTTAGCCATTACACCATTTGCTGGTCCTGACTCATTTTTAAGTTTATCCAAAATAATCACAGATTTAAAAATGTGTTGATAGTTCATGCTTTTCACTGTACTGAAGAATTTGTGATCATTGTTTTTACAACTGGCCTATTTAAGAAATCATTGCCTAAGAAATCATTCTTTCTGTAATTTCTCAGATGCAGTAATTATTTTAAGCAGAATAGCATATTACTTTTTTTTTTAACCCTCCTCTCTCCTTTATAAGCAAGTTTATGGAGAAATCTTCTCAAAACCATGTTTTATAAATACAGCTTTTAGAATACGGTTTCTTACAGTTAGGCTATTCAAAATTAAACGATTTAAAAACTGCTATAGAGCTTAATAGGAAAATAATACATGATTAAAATTTAGAGACAAACTGCAAAGAAAAGTCTTTGGTTTTTCCCCTCTGAAATTGTACAATAAATCATTTATTGTGTTTGTGCTTAATTCTCAAAGTTGTGGGAGTTAGTGAAGCTTATGAAGATGCTGCCAATTGTCTCTGGTTGTTAACAAACTCCAAGCCTTGTGCTAACTGTAAGTCTCCGATACAGAAGAATGAAGGCTGCAATCACATGCAGTGTGCTAAGGTAAGAAGTTAGAGGATTTTGCACACTCTACAGTTGAAATCTTAATTTAGTTTTGATTGTTTTTCCAAAGGAGAAATATTGTAAACATAAAATTGTATTGGGTTTCAGATAGGTTCTAGGAGATTGCATTCTATATTCTTTGTTGAATAACATAGGTGTTGATTTATATTACTGAATTTCACTCACAAAATGAATATTTAAAATAATGGTAATGGGTCCAGCCGGTGGTGTGAAGGTTAAGACACTGTATCCCACATGACCGACATTGCATTTCTATTCTGGCAGCTTGAAAATCACACCAGACATGTGTGTGCATGCACTCACACGTGTGACAAAAATCCTAAGAGGAAAATGGAGGAAGAGGGACTGCAGTGTGGCCATCCTCCCCACCCCGCAGCTGTGGATGATTTCTTACTTCTCTTTCTCTGTCTCTCTCTGGCAAGCACAGGCACCCTAGAGTAAAAATTAAAAAAAAAAAAAAAAAAAAAAAGAGGGTAATGATTCTATTGTATTTGTCCAGAGGATCAGAAATGCCTGAATTCTGCCCTCCCAGTCACCTCCCACAATAAGAGTCCTGAGAGACTTGTATGTTGTGATAATAGCAAACAATAATCAAAATACTACCTTACCTATACGGATCACTTGCCCAATCACCAGTACTTTTGAAACACACAGCTTAGACTCAAGGCTCAATCCAAGCACCAAGTAACCCCTGTAAGTTCAAATCTGTATAATATCTACACAAAAAGGGTACCAAAACAGTGACCAGACTTAAGATCTGCCAATAAGACCATCAATTAAAAGTAACTCATTATTGTATTGAAATGAAAATGCCAACAATGATCATGTGGCTGAAACATAAATTAATATCAATCTATTCCTACATTTATAAACATTTTAAAACAATTTGAATGGTATTCTGTTTTTTCTCATTTTCCATTGGAAGTGTTATCTATGCATAAAAGATAAGTATTTAAATTATTAAGAGTACAATGTAATTTTTCTAATTCAGGTCATGAAAGAAACCCAAATAGTTAAGAAATTTCTAGGGGCCGGCAGGTGGTGTGGTGTTTAAGGCCACTAGACTCCCACATGATGGACCACAGTTAGTCCCTGACTTGGCGACTTGCTTTCTCACTTTCCTTCTCGCTCCGTCCCTCTCTGGTCAAGTTATAAATACATAAATAAATAGATAGATAAATAAATAAATAAATAAATAAATAAATGTAAAAAAAAAAAAAAAAGCAAAATTTCAGTAAAATATATCAGTATCTTTTCTTTAATTATTACTTGATTTTTAAGGAGTTTGATGATGATCATCATTGTTGCTTGGAAAAGAACGGCAGCTACCAGATGATTTTTACAAGTCTATATTATTGTAAAATTGACAAGTGAATTGCTTAGTGAGGCACTAAATGATTATGTAAGAGGCAGAAAGAAAAACTTTTTGCAGTGTTATGTGCAGAATATTCAGAAGTTCAGCGAAGATTTGGACCAAAATTCTTGCCTCTGTTCGTGGTCTTATGTCCAACATCCATGATTTTTTCCTTGGAAAATCTGATATAGACTTCCTAGATGTGTAAAGAAATACAGATTAACCATAAAAATTAGCCATTGGCAGCTGAGGAAAAAAAAATCCAGCATGAGACCAGCAGATGGCGTGATGGATATATTGCTGGATTCCCACATAGTTGACTGCAGTTCAAGTCCCATACCTGATAACTTAAAACTCACGCTGGGCATGTGTGCCCAAGATCCCAAGAGGAAAATGGAGGAGGAGGATTGCAGCATGGTCATCCCCGCTGTCGGGGGTGATTTCTCGCTTCCATCTTTCTGTCTGTTTCTATCTCTCCAACAACCACACACAACCCATAGCAAAAATATCTGTTAAAAAAAAAAGCCAGCATTACTTTTATTTTCTTTTTAACACCTAACAGTGGTAAGTACTTAGTAAATATGTTTGAGTGAAATATTTTTATGAAATAATCAGGCTAGTTATAATAGGTAGTTCAACTTAAAGCAAATTTTGCTTAAGCTTCTATTGCATTTTTTAAAAACATTTATTAATATTTACATGCTGTGTAAATGCAGTAGTCTTGTTTAATATACCATACGAAGCATTTTGCATTGAACAATAGAAACTAGAAAGTAATATTCTTATTATGACATGGAAGATTTATGTAGAAGGGAATAATCCTGCTGCTGCAAACTTGTATACTTTTTAGAGTATTTTTTTAAATGTGTAATTGGAAGAATATGTCATGTGTGATTGAATCAATACTCTAAAATAACAACTAAATCATAATACACCTTTACTAATGCCCCTGTCCTGATTATAATTCAATAGACAGTTTTTACTTTCTGATATCAAATGTACATGTTGCGAAAGGCTAGGTGATTACAGGAACTAATTCATCTCTCCATCCATGATATACTAGGTAAATAAAAAATTAGTGGAGCTAAACAAGACTTAAGTACCATAATTACTAAGGTATATCTGATTGCTCTATGTTCAAATTCTATATCCTGAAAATGTGGTCTGTACTCTATTTTCATTTACCCATGGAGCATTCACACAAAAAAAATGACCATTAATCATTAAAAAAAAAAAAAATTAACATTTCAGAAAATAGTAAATAATACAGATAATGCTCTGATCATAAGGGAGTAAGATAGTAATTAATAATAAAGTTTAAAAAGACCTGTTCACTTAGAATTTTTAAATCTCTCAAATAACTTTTGAGTAGCAAAGGAAGTAAAAATGAAAATTGAATTACTTGTTTAAAAGGAGGACAATAGATATACTGCTTTAACAGAGCCTAGGGCTGTAGCTAAAGCAATTCACAGAAAAAGCAGGAAGAATTTTTTTTATCGTTTCTAAGTGGAAATCAGTGCGTGAAAAGCTGAAAATGCAGGCATGGTGGCATGTTCCCAGTAATCCTCATCACTCAGAAGGCTGAGGCAGGAAGATCATGAGTTCAAGGTTGCCCTGGCAACAAAGTGAGACCCCTGTCTAAAAAAGAGCCAGGTGTGATGTCACATGCATATAGTTCCAGCTGAGAGGCTGAGACAGGAGAATTTCAACTTGGCAAGCCCCTGTCTTAAAGTGAAAAGGAAGGAAGAAAGGCAGCAAGACAGACAGGAGGGAAATTGAAATTGTAGCCAATAAAAAAATCCTGTAAGTAGTTTTCTGAAAGAAAAGATTAGATAACTCATTAAGTTAACATAATCAAGAGGAAAATAAAAAAGAGGCAAAGGAATTCAGAGTTTAGGTATTTAAGAAATTAGGAAATAATCAGAAACAAAACAAACTAGAATAGTAAGGTATCGTTTTACTCAACTTTTATGGATAAATTTAAACTCTGATTTGAAATGGATTTTCTAAGGAAATTAATTTACTAAAACTGACTCTAGAAGACATAAAATTTCCAGATAAACTCATTTTTATAGAAAAGTTTTTCAAAGATTTCCCATACCTTACACCCCCATGAAAGTAGTGGAACCTGACAGTTTCATAGTAGAATTTTATCACACCTAAGAAGCAGGTGGTTTCAGTGTGTGTGTGTTTGTGTGTTTAAGAATTATTTATTTCATTTTATTTACTCATTCATTTATTTTAATTTAACCAGAGACAAAGAGAGGGAAAGTGGAAAAGCAAGCCATCAGGCCCAGGACTTAAACCTCAGTCCACCATGAGGGAGTGTCCAGTGCCTTAGCGACCATACCACCCGCTAGTCCCTCCCTGTGTTATTTTAACTCTTAATGGGAGTTAAAAATAAGTAAATATAAATAATTGTCAGAGGACATGTGCACTTGCTAGAGAGGGAGAAGGGCAAAGCATCCCACAGTGGGATGGGTTACACTGAAATCCCTTCTCCATCCTGTCAAGATTTTGAGCATGAATCCAGACATACCCAGAATGTTTTTCAAGATTCCAGTGTGGGACCAGCAGTTAGTGAAATGGCTATGTCGCTGGACTCCCACGTAGTCGACTGTGGTTCCAGTCCCGGACCCGGTGGCTTAAACTCACGCTGGGCGCGTGTGTGTACGTGCCCAAGATCCCAGGAGGAGAATGGAGGAGAAGGGATTGCGGCATGGCCATCCCCCCTCGGGGGTGATTTCTTGCTTTCTGTCTCTATGTGTCTCTGTCTGTCTGGTGAGCGCACAAGCCCTATAGCAAAATCCTCTCCTCCCCCTCCACCCCCGCCAAAGAAAGATTCTAGGGCCAACATTCAAACTATAGTCGGCCATGTGATCCAGCTCTCTTAACCAATAGTCCACAGGACTGCCACCATCTTCAATTTTTTAAAAAAAATTTAGTTTTGCTATAGGGTGCTTGTGCTTACCAGAGAAAAGGGGGGAGAGAGAGAGAGAGAGAGGAATCACCCTTCAGGGAGGATGACCATACAGCAGTCCCTTCTCTTCCATTCTCCTCTTGAGATTTTGGGCATGGACGTAAATGTGGTTGACGTGTCTTTTTAAAGTAAGAATCTTGATGCCAATTTGACAAGATTATAAAGAGTAAAGGAAACCTATGAGTTATAATCTCACTTATAAATAACAATTCTGATGTCCTAAGTAAGATATTGGAGAGGAAGAAGCATAGATATTAGCAAACAAAATTCAGCATAACACATCTAAAAATAATTGAAGAACCAGGTTGGTGGCATTTCGTGCAGTCCTGAGGCTAAGCCAGAAAGATTAAGACATGGAGAGATTTTGTCTTAGTTTGTTAACTTTAAAGAGTAATTGACAACGTGTTTTTTGGGGGGGTTTTTTTGATTTTTTGGTTTTTTTGGTTGTTTTTTGTTTTTTGTTTGTTTTGTTTTTTTTTAAGAAATACAAGAATAAATTCAGTGTTAGGGGAGCTTTTGCTGAATCTCATTTATAGATTCAAAGAGAAAAATTATGTATTTTCATATAGGTGCTGAAATGGGATTAGACAAAAAAAAAATCAATAATCTCTCTTTATAAAACACTCAAAGAAATTAGGATAGAACAAATTCTTCCTTACCATGCTAAAAATAAATTACCTGATCTAAAAGCTAACTTGTTTAGTGTCGAAACTGGGGGTACTCTTAATAAAGAACAAGGTAAAGATGCTATCTCTTACCAGTATAAACACTGGACTGGAGATACCAGTCAACATAGTTAAATAACAGAAAGGAATCAGATGTAAAAATTAGAAATGAAGTCATGAAATTATCACTTTTTGAAGACCGTATAATTGTATAGCTAGAAAATCCTGAAGAATCAACAGAAAACTACTATGAATAGCAAAAATCAATGCAGCACGAAAGTTATATGCAGAATACTATAGCCTTCATCTGTGCCAACATCCAGATAGAATACATGAAGACTTCATTGATCTAGATATGTAATTAACAAGAAAAATGGATGCTAGGCTTATATGAAAAAATTTAAAGCCCTTCTTTAGGGAACAAAAGATGGCAAATGGAAAAACAACCCAGTTCTTATTACCAGTAGGGGGACTGGCAGGTGGCATGGCGATTAAGGTGCTGGATTCCCACATGTCTGACTATCTGGAGTTCTGGACCTGGTGGCTTGCTTTCTCACTTTCCCTCTCTGTCTCTCTCTCTCGGTCTCTCTGGTCAAGTTTCAAAATAATAAAATTAAATAGTTCTTAAAAAAAAAAGTAGGTTTTGTTTCTACATGTAGGTTAACTAATTCAAAAGTTCATATGGAAAAACAAAAGGAGAATAACTTGGAAAACTCTGAAAAAGAATGGTAATAGAGAACTAGTCTTGTCAAATAATAAACAATGTCATAAAACCTGAGTAGTTGAAATAGTATGGTACTGGAACCAGCAGTTAGTGTAATGGCTATGTCACTGGACTCCCACGTAGTTGACCACAGTTCGCGTCCTGGACCCAGCGGCTTAAAACTCACGCCAGGCTCATGTGCATGCATGCCCAAGATTCTGAGAGGAGAATGGAGGAGAGGGAATTGCGGTGTGGCCATCCTCCCTGGGGGGTGATTTCTCGCTTTCTGTCTCTCTGTCTGGCAAGTGCACGCACCCTATAGCAAAAACCTCTCAAAAAAAAAAAAAAATAGATAAACCAGGACCAGCAGTTGGCATGCTAGTTAAGGTGCTAGTTTCCACATGGCCAACTCCAAAGTCCAAGTCCCTGGACTGGAGGCCTGAAAAACCACACTGGGTGCATGTGCGTGCATTCCCAAAATCCTGAGAAGAGAATGGAGGAAAAGGAACTATGGCATGGCCAGCCCACCTGGGGAGCGATTTCTTCTTTTCCTGGTCTCTGTCTTTCTCTGTCTCACACACATACCCTATGGCAAAAAATCTAAAATAAGTAAACAAACAATAAAAGTACCAGAGGCAATATAAACTTAGAATGGGTAGATCCTTCTAACTGACTCAGAATCCATAAACATATAAGAAAAGAATATATTTTCATACTGGAATGCTCATGTTTTTGACATTGTATGCTAATTATGGTAATCAAGTTAAATTATCTTGAAAAGTAGGTTCTATGACAACTGTTTTACTTAGAGACCTTTTAAACTTATTTCCAGCTTCAAAACCATTTTGTCAGAGCCAGTTTGTCATATAGACTGGTAGAGCTTCGTAGACCAACATCAATTACCATCTACTTGAAAAATGAAATATTGGTCTTTGGAAAAGTCATGAGATATTTTTTCATGTTTTTCTATACAAAAATGCATCATGGCTTTTCCAATGACCTGATTGTCAGTATTTGTTCTTATTATTGGTATGTTAATGATTCCTTATAATTATTTCATAATACTATGATTTATATGTTAATATACCCTTATAAACAATTTTTTTTATAAACAATATTTTTAAACTGCCCCCACATTTTTCCATAAGGTCTCCAAAGAAAACACTAAAAAGTTGTAATGTCTCTGAGATTTGTTCCTGGTCATACAGGCAGGATTGTTTACTCTTTACAAATTGATTAACTGGAAAACAAAGTAATTTGTATATTAACATGGGGAGATGTTTGCATATATGTTTTCTTTTGAAGTGCAAGTATGATTTTTGCTGGATTTGCCTAGAAGAATGGAAAAAACATAGTTCTTCCACTGGAGGCTATTACAGATGTACTCGCTACGAAGTCATTCAGCACGTGGAAGAGCAATCCAAGGAAATGACTGTGGAGGTAAAAATAACCATTTAAGCCAAGACCTCAGTCTAAGGCACTTAATGCCTTTGGAGGTATTTTGTATTTCTTCTTTTCCCATCTTCATCTTAATGAGGCATTAAGTTGAATAAACTTTAGAGTACCCTTTAATTTAAACAAAGTAGCTCTTTATACTTGGGAGCTTTTTTCTTTTTTTCTTTTGGTGACAATATGAGGTCTTATATATCTGAACTGGTCTCTCTGAAGACTTGAAAAACAATTTTAACATTATATCAACAATGCAGTACTACATTATAGCATGGAGTGTCTCGGTCTGTCAACTGTCGAAACAAAATACCATAGACTGGGTGGCTTACACACCAGGAATTTATTTCTCAGTTCTAGAATCTGCAGAAGTGTAAGAAAAAGTTCCAGCTGAGGAACTCAGCTCTCACCCTCAGCGGAAAGTGCTCTTGGCATACTGATGGCTACTTCATTGTTGTGTACTCATATGACCACTAAGAGAACGGGCTCTGGTGTCCCTTCCCTTAATGTAGGACCCACCCTAATGACTTTAACCTTTTTCACTTCTTCACAGGCCCCTTGTCCAAATACAGTCACATTGGGGATTGGGGATTCTGTATGTGAATTTTGGGAAAATGCAGGTCAGTCTGTAGCAGTAAGCCATGTAAGACATTGAAGATCTGATAAATGTAGAGATTGAGAGGCATGTTTCCCTTAACTCTCTAGGATGATGGACTCCGTGGCTTGTCACAGAGAATACAAATACAAGACTTTGTTCTGGAAGCCTTTAAGATGTATTGGTTATTATTTCTCTTAATAAAAACAACCAAATCTGCATGCATTACCACCCATTGTAATAAAAACCTTTAAATGATTCCCCCCCAAAAAAACAACTTCAATAACTAGTAGTTTTTATAAAAGTAATTTATGGACTTTTGTTTCCTAGGCTGAGAAAAAACACAAACGATTTCAGGAACTTGACAGATTTATGCACTATTACACAAGATTTAAAAACCATGAGCATAGTTATCAGGTATGTCCGAAATCATTTCAAATGAGCTGAACTGCACAGTTGTGAATGCTGCACTGTTGTGAATAAATAGAATGGTTTAAATTATTTATTTCTATTCCTTTAGTTAGAGCAACGCCTTCTTAAAACAGCCAAAGAAAAGATGGAGCAATTGAGTAGAGCTCTCAAAGAAAGTAAGTTACAAGTGATATGTGTGATAATGAATAAACATATCCTTCTGTGCCTAAGTCACTTCACTGATAGAAGGTTAGGCCCTTGAATAATGTCCCTTAGCTGGTTCTGGTACTGTTTTGAGTTCTTAGAGCCCTTGAGTGCAGCTTAGCAGATAAGTCCTCTGTAATGGAATTTCCTCCTGGCACCTTAGCCTACTCCTGATAATGCATCCGACATTTTCATTAGATAAAATACATCATGATCTTGCTTACTCTGTGCTGATGCCCATGCCTTGCAGTGTTGGAAAACATGGATGGGTCTTCAAAGGATCCCTGTCCTAGTCAATGGAACAAGACATACATGCTACTCAGTGTCATGTAACTGAATACCCCAAAAGTCTTGAAAAAATTTAGCAGAGTGTTTCTTGGAGTGGATATCAAGTATAGTTTGGGGAGAAGTAATTTCACTGCTAAAATATCAATACTGGAATTAAAAAGCAAAGCCAAAGCCAACAAGTGGCTTCTCTGTCTCTCTGAGGTATGCATGCCTGTGCGCACACACATGCACTGGGAATTTTTTTTAAGAATTATTTATTTCATTTTCTGTGTATTATTATTTGTTTTATTTTTAATTTACTATAGGGCACATGTGCTCATTAGAGAGAGACAGAGAGAAGAAAAGTGAGAAAGCAGGCCACCAGGTCCAGGACTCGAACCATGGTCAGCTATGTGGAAGCCTAGCACCTTAGCCACCATACCACCCGCTGGCCCCCAACACACCTGAAATGTTTTTCAAGACACCAGGATGGGATTCAAACTGCATAATTGGCCATGTGGGATCCAGCTCCTTTAGCCACTAGCCCAATAAAGAGAATTTTAATGGTTGCATCATTAAAATACAATGCCCCACAGTAATCACACAGAGTACATGTGCTGGTATGTTTGTTTTAAAAAGTCACATTTAAAAAATAATCATAACTTGGGCTGGCTAGGTGGGATGATGGTTAAGGTAACTGGATCCCACATGGCCAACTATGCAATTTAAGCCCCAGACCTGGCAGCTTGAAAGACGTACCAGATGCGTGTGCATGCATGCTGAAATTCCTCAAAGGAGAATCGAGAAGAAGGGATCGTGGCGTGGTCATCCTCATGGGAGTTACTTTTTCACTTTCCCCATCCTATCTTTGGCAAGCATACCCACCCTATAGCAAATCAAAAACAGTAATAATAATCATAGCTTATATATCAAAGGTACATTATAAGCCTAAATGTGACCAATTATAGTTGTGTTTGCTCTCATTTATGAAGAAGAGTATGAACACCCTTTGCATGTAGATAACTCCCTAATTAAAATGGTAACCATGAGCTAGATTAATTATAGTGAGAGAGGAAAGATGTCAATAGCAGCTTAGTTTCCTTCTTAATTGGTTCTTTGGCTTTTATAATGATATAAGTATGTCACACCAGTATCAAACTCTTGAAGTATTGTCTACAATAATAATTGAAAGGAAAAAAATCTTCACAGTTTCTGTAGTTTATCAGGAATTTTGAGCTGTTTTGACATTGATAGAGCCATGTCTGACATGTAGTAAATACTCAGTAAATCTTTACAGATGTGAATTATTGCTTCTGCTCCACATTCTGGAGATTGCCTGACAGCACAGTAGAACATGAAAGAGCTAAAATCATTGAAAAGAAAGAAATAAAACGTCACATACTTCTTGTACATGAAATGAGGAAGTCAAAAGAGTCTTTATTTTTCACATCTTAGTTCAAATACCTGCCCTAGAGACTGAGCGTACTCAGAAATTTGAGGGTGATCTATGTGACAATTTGTGTATATGTACATATGGTTTCTTTCTGTAGGCATGCCAAATAATCTGATCTCAACACTACTTAAGGATTTATATTTTACTGTATAATTTCTGTTTATTTGCAGTTAGGAAAAAGCTATAATGTTAGAATGATATTTTGGGGAGGAAGAATCTCATATATTAAAAAATGGTTTCTTCTTCCCTCCTCCTCACTTCTTTTCCTTTCTTTTAGCAGATTGTTAGTTAATATTAGTTATTGTTCCCCAGAATGTTGTATCGTTTTCCTTACAATGTTGTTTTTAAAGAAGCATAATTATAATTAGACTTTTTTTTTAGCAAGCAACTTAGCAAAGACTTTTGTTCTAGTTATTAAGCAACAAAGTTTCCCTAGGGATGATCTTTTAAAAATGTAGTTAAGCGTGGAACCTTTGGTTGACCCAAAGGTATATTTTTTACCCATAGGGGGTAGTAAGAATAGAATCTAAGATGAATATGTGTGTTTCTTCATAGCTATTAGCAACTGTGCTTCTGAGCTGCTGAAGTACATGCTTCATTTCTAAGCACAAATGGTATATGTAAGTGTTTCATATAGGTTTTTAATCTAGCTCAACTAAATACTATCATAGAGCTGTTTCAAATAGTTTCTTCTCAGGAATCCTTTTATTCTTTTTAAAGAAAACATAGTTGTTGAATTTATAATAGCTATTTGCAAAACATAAAAAATATAAATTCACTGTGCCTCAATTACTTTATAGCTGAAGGAGGCTGTCCAGATACCACTTTCATTGAAGATGCAGTTCATGTGCTCTTAAAAACTCGACGTATTCTCAAGTGTTCTTATCCTTACGGATTTTTCTTAGAACCCAAAAGCACAAAGAAAGAAATTTTTGAACTAATGCAAGTAAGATATCTTTCTTTTATTATTACATTTAAATAATAGCAGTTATGAAAAACAAATTTTCTCCTTTTTTAACTCATTTAACCAAATTTTATCTAATTTAGCTCAGGATGGTGAAACAACTTTGTTTTCATTGTTAAAATGGTTTTTAAATAAAGAAGTTGGGCTAGCAGATAGCATGGAAGTTAAGGCAGTTGGATCACATATGGCCAACTGCATAGTTCAAGTCCCAGACTGACAGCTTGTAAAATAGTCTGGGCACACATACATATATGTGCCCGGAATCCCGAAAGAATGGAGGAGAAGGGTTTTCGGCATGGCCTTCCCACTTGGGGGATGATTTCTCACTTTTCCTGCCTCTCTCTCAGTCTCTCCAACAAGTGCACTTGCTCTATAGCAAAAACTAAAAAAAAAAAAAAAAAAAAAAAAGTACAACTCAAAAAGTTACCAACTGACATCGTAATAGCTAACCAACTTCATCAAAATTCTTTTTTGAAGCCACTAACCTTTCTCCTCTTGTTACAGTTTCTACATTATTCCTTCAAACAGCCCTTCACTAATTATATCCTGCTTTATTTTTAAGGCTCAATATTCATTTTCTCCATAAAGCAACCCAGACTTAACTCCAATTCACAATAGTTTTTGCTTTGCCTCAGATTCCTTCCACATTTATGCACAGATAGTTTGCACCATGGCATCATGCATTTGCTTGTATAGTGCCTTGAAATGTTGAAATGTATTGGTTTTTCTCACATAGACAAATCATAAATTCCTTGTAGACTGCTGCTATATTACTACTACTTTGTACTTACTACTACTACTTACTACTACTTTGTATCTGTACCACTATATTGGTGCTTATTAAATGAGTGCTGTTTTCTGTATTTAAGATAATGTCCTATATAATCCTCCATTCTCTTATAACCAGGGGCGGAGGGTGGGAGGGAATGCACAAACTAAAAAACATGTTAAATAGGAAGATATTTCAAATTTTGGATTCTTTTTTTTTTTTTTTTTTTTACATAAGAGTTAAATTTAACAGAGAAACCAGGTAGACTCTAGGTTTGCTATATAGTTCAACCCGTAATCTTTTTTTTCCCTTCTTTTTTCTACATAGACAGACCTAGAAATGGTCACAGAAGACCTTGCCCAAAAAGTCAATAGGCCTTATCTTCGCACACCTCGCCACAAGATCATCAAGGCAGCATGCCTTGTGCAGCAGAAGAGGCAAGAGTTCTTGGCATCCGTGGCTCGGGGAGTGGCTCCTGCAGACTCACCAGAAGCTCCAAGGCGCAGGTAAAATAGACGTGTCTGGAGCTAGGAGCTAGGAGCACAGAGCACACCCTAGCTCCAGTCACAATGCCAGCAGATTTATTTTTTTATCCAACTGGAATTTATATTCCTGGAAGTTACTTATACCTAAAATATGGATAGCTGATAAAGTATAATAATTTCTTTTTGGTGGTTGTTTTCCCCTCAGTACTGTATTTCTATTTTCTTGTCATTTCTTTTGTCATTGTGTAGTTCCTCAGATTAAATTAGGTTAAGTTAATTTCACATTTATGTGAATTAATCATTAAAAGGATATTCTGTGTCATTTCAAGTATGTGATACATATAGCAATACAACAACATAAACACGTTTTGATGTAGAGTTCAGAAACTTTGCCAAATTGTTATGGTCATATTTGTGGTTTTATGTTGAATAGTTATGAAGAAGTGAGAAATCTGATAAAAGTAAAGGTTTTTAAGTGATCCAAATTCATTCAATAAAAAATGGTTGAGTTTGAGTTATTTTACTTTAGATAACTTATACTACTTCTGCCATTGTGAATTGAAGCATATTTCATATTCATAATTACTGTATGCATTATAAATTCCTTTGACCCTACTTTATATAAATATTTAAGTGAACATCTTACTTTTAAAAGAAAGATAGAAGCAGTTATAAAACACTGTTATCACAAAGTGATTTTTATTAATTTTATTAGTTTCATTTACTTTTCTACTTTTTACAAACATAAAGCAATTTTGAAAAAATAATTAAAGTATCATCTTCATTTTATTTTTAATAGTTGGTCTACTTGGTTTAACCAACTTACTTAAGCAAGTTCCAAGCAGAAAAACTAAAAGTAATGTCCAAAGGGCAAGAATCTGATTGTATATACTTTGTAGTACTGATAATAAATCAAATGGTATGTCTAATTTCTTTGTAGCTTTGCTGGTGGAACATGGGATTGGGAATATTTAGGATTTGCATCACCCGAGGTAATTGTTTTGTGGAGTCTTGTTTTTGTTTTGTGTGTTTTTCCTTAATACAGTTCTGCTTGCATTTGCACCTTCATCTATTCTAAATCCTG